CACTTGGCTAAATCCAACTCATTCTCCAAGAAAACATCCCTGCTTTCTTCAGGAAACCTCACCTGATCTCCTGGTCCTCAACCCCGACGGCTATATTCGGTGCCACTCCTTTGTATCATCATAACTCTTTCTCCAGCCCACATTATCTCTCTCCTTCTCTCTGCACTCAGCATATCCTTTTATAAATAGTATTTATGTATTTGTCTCCCGCACAGAACTATGAGTTCCTTGAGGGTATATGCTGTGTCCTAGTCACTGACTGCTGGCATGTAACAGGTGTTCAGTAAATGTTTGTTGAATAAATGAATCTACATAAAATCTACAATCCTGACTTGAAAAAATGAAATGAATACTGGGGATGAAGTGGACATTTTTCTTATTTATTCAATTTTTCTCTCAATCTTTTAAGCTATATCTACTTGCTATCAGACAACACAAAGATGTGTTCAAAGAAAAGCCAACTCTCTCCCCTCCCTACCCTTGACTTTAACTTTTTTTATCCTCGACCTTTTTTTACCCTTGACTTTTTTTAACCACTGTTGAATGCTTGGTGTGTACTGTTCTATGACTTTCTCTATGCTCATGGCACACCCATATGCACACTTAGAGATTTTTCTCAATTTGTAGAACTAGGATCGCACATATATATTTTATCATAACACTTGCTCTTTTCCCTTAATAATGTATCATGGCCATCACTCCAGACCAACACATAGGGACCTAAGTCATTCTTTCTAATAGTTGCATAACAGTCTATAGTATGGATGAACCATGATTTAGTCACTCATCCTCCAATGGATAAGCATTCAGGTTGCTCCTAGTTTTATGGAAGTTCTGAAAACAAAGATAGCAAGACTGATCTAACATTTCTAGAGCATACGTACTGAGTTATTTCTCTGCCAGTGCTGTGGACTCTATCCTCACATACCTGGACCTATTTTCTCAAGACTCGAGCTCTGAAAACCTAATAAGCTCATAAGCGATCTCTTCTGCATACAGCGCCAGTTGCTGCCACGCATCTTATACTGAATAGGTATTTAATATTTATTGAACTGAACCAAAAGCTAACCAGATAGAAACTGCCAGGAAGGATACACAGGGTGCACTGTTTGCCATGCTTAATTTCGAGGATGTGGTAGGACGGGTGTAAAAATAGAACATTTTCATTTTTAACTTAATACACTTCTGTTTGAATTTTTAATATAATACTCTATAACTTCAATATTTAATATATCCATTTATACATTAATATATTTTGATTATATGAATATATTGATAATAAAATTTAGCACATTATTTTTATAACTCAAAAACAGCTTTTTTCCAAAACTTTCTGGACGATACAGAACCCCTGAGTTAAAAGAAACAAGCTCTAATTCAATAACTCCAAAGTCTGGCTGTACATAAGAATCAACTGAAATTTGCTACAAATTCAGATTCCCAGGGCTTCCATGAATATTCCGATTCAGTAGATCTGAAGCAGAGCCCGGTATCAGCATATTTAATAAATACTCCAGGTGATTCTTTGATCCTGCTCTAATCTAATGATTTTTAGAATTACCTGGGGAGCTTTTCACATAGTATGTGGATGTTTGGGCACTACCTTTACAGGTTATGAGCCATTAGACCTGGAATGAGACCTGAGAATCTACATTTTAAAAAGGCTACCTAGATGATTCTTCCCAGGTTTGGAAACTCTATTCTAAGTGTTATAATTTCCCTCAGTTTGTCAATTCAAAATCAAGACATGATAGCTCCATTTTGGTCTCTAGCAGTAAAAATACAACACCAAGTTAAAAGTCTTTGATGATAGTATTCTAAATGACCACAAGATGAGGAATGTCTTAGCTGGACTATCATGAAATTTAAGAATACCTTTTATTGTTAGTTTGAATAATGAATTAAATTTTAGTACTCTATATCTTAAAGAGAAGATGAATTCAAAAGTATTTTTCTCGGGCTTCCCTGGTGGCGCAGTGGTTGGGAGTCCGCGTGCCGATGCAGGGGACGCAGGTTCGTGCCCCGGTCCGGGAGGATCCCACATGCCACGGAGCGGCTGGGCCCGTGAGCCATGGCCGCTGAGCCTGCGCGTCCGGAGCCTGTGCTCCTTAACGGGAGAGGCCACAACAGTGAGAGGCCCGCATACCGCAAAAAATATATATATATATATTTTTTTTTCTCTCTAAAATATTTTAATAAAATTACTTTTCTATGGGATTCAATGTTTCAGCATTTTCAATTTTTAAAAAATATGTCTACCCCTACCATAACTTACAAGTCTAGATATTAGAAATAAGAAGAGTTCATTTTTTAAATTAATGAGATCTATCTTTCCAAGTATCTAAAGACCGTCCTAATGATAAGTCAGGTATTTAAGTAGACACATTAACTTTCTGACCATAAAAGTTTATCTCTACTTTCAGGAATAGAGATGAGAGCAGATTAGAAAAGCATAGTGAAGCTCAGTTCTGAAAACATCTTTTATAAAAAATAAATGGCAAACAGACATCTTTCCACACGAGCTTAACTCAGTAGCTACTGTACTAGGCATTCTACTAATCATTTAGAATTGTTGTTTACAAATTCATAAAGATAAAAGTACTTCATAGAAACATAAGAAAAATCTTCAGTCATTGGTAATATCTAGGAAGTTCTGGTCCTCAAAAGTGAAGGAGGAAGAAACAGAGTGGGGATATCAAATTAATAACATCAAGGATCAAGGGCCTTGTTTCCCTCACTTGGTCTTTTACCAAATGTCCACGAAGAAGTTCCTAAATGTACTGGGAATTCCAAATTACTTACCAAGGCCATTTCCTTTCAATCTCAAGTATAGGGCATTTTTCTCTCTCAGCAAATCAATGATTGTGATGTTTACTGTAATACTCAAAGGACAAGTAATAGAGAAGCACTAAAACAAAGTGGATGTGATCAGAAGTCAGACAGTCCTGGGTAGAAATCAGGATCTGCCACCTACCAAATGTTTGAGCTCACGTTAAGTTACACAATCTCTCAAAACCTCAGTTCCTTCATCTGTGAAATGGAGAGGTAATGACAGCATCTACTTGAGTCAGTTATTGTGAGGACCAACCGATGCAATACATGTAAAGCGCCTGACATGTAGTAAGTATGCAGTAACTGATATTTATCATGTTTTTACTCCCCTTGCAATATTAGTCAGACTTCAAACTGTTAAATGCAAGATTATCAACATGGAGTTTGAAGGGGAAACAAGAACGCTAAGTGAAAGATCTGTGTCCGACTCGAAATCATCCTGCTTGAAACCAGGTTCGAGAAGAAATACTCAAGAACCAGGTCCCAAGCCAGGGCTCTAGCCTCTGAATCACTGGGGCATCTTCATTTCATATCCTCGGATAAACCACAGAGACCTTGTAGTAGAACGGGCCAGAGACAAGGTGAAACTGGGGGGTTACCTAATGAACTTGATGCTTTCTAGGACCTACCAAGGCTCCCAGTAGTTAGTTGGCTCCTACGGTGGGCAATGTTTTGTGTACTAAGGGGTTTGGGTGGCATAAAGCTGCATCAGAGGTGGACTCTGACCACAGAGAGCTTTACAACCTATGAGAACTAGTCGCCCCATGTTCCTTTTAATACTTAGGACAGGAGTCGGGACCAAAAGCCTCTGTCTTAGAACACAGTTCAGAGATTATATAGCTGGAGTCACTCAGAAGATTCCGTACACACACCCAGCCCCCTGTAGTTTCACCCTCTTTTTTCTTTCTCTAATACATACAAATTTTTAGGCATCATTGGGCAGGTAGTATCTCAGGGTCGCATATCACCTCTGTAGCCCGAGATCTACGAACGTAAATTCTGTCATTCCACCCTGCCTGTACCACCCCATTTCCAGGTACGGAACCAACCAACCATATTGCCAAACCAACAAAGACCAGTTTCCTTAAAAGGAAGTTTAAACATTCTGGATAGAATTTACATGCCCCAGAATGAACCTTGAAAAGCATCACTAAATTATCCAACACATTGTTAAATTCCTAAACTCCCCTCAAAAAGCAGGGTTAACCCTTCAGAGTTAAAAAAAAAAAAAATTACGCTGCAACTCCTCTTAAAGCTTCGGGGTATCAAAAGGGGTGGTACTTACTGCTTGGCAAATATACTTTCTAAAAATAATCACTATTTTCCTTAAAAGCTTATGGTAAAGCCACCAAGTCACTTCGTTTTCATTGCTGGCAAGCTGCACAGTGACTTGATCGCTTTAATATTTCACTCATAGTAGCAGCCACTGAGCTATGACTAACCCACTCTCCCAGCATCACCACTGGCTCCAGATGGCAAGAAATACATTCCCTTCACTCTTGGCTGAAAAGCAATTCCGATTTTTTTTTTTCTTTCTTTCGTCCAGTTTCACCTGCAGTTTAATCGTTTCACTCCAGGAAGAAAACCGCTGGGGGTGAGGGGCGATTAATGCAAAGAGGAGTACAGGTAGGGAATTTACTTTTTTAAATGAGATGTAAGCACTGCAGCTTTAAATGTTACTGCATCAAGCCCTGGATTCCTTCCGTAACCAAGCTGCAAAATGGTAACAAGAATGGAGGAAAAAAAAACCTCTTCCTCCCTCCCGGCCAGCCCTTCAGGCCACTGCCCAGCAGGACTGGCAGCGGCGAGCCCATCCCCCACGCCCTCCCAGCCCAGACGTGCGGCTGGCACAGGTGAGCCGGACACCGACCTTGGCCCTCTGGCTTCGCCCACATCCGGGGGATCAAGGTCAAGGGCGAGGGCTTCCTTACACACACACACACACACAAACACACACATACACACCCCGCACACTCCCCCCGCTCCACCCTCGGTCGCCCAGAGCCCAAGGATCCGATGCCAAAGTTTCAGGCCGGGTTGGGGCCGGCAAGGTTCTCGCGGCCCCCGGCCCCCGGCCTCCGGCACCTGCCCGGCCCGCCCTGGTCCGCGCCTTTCCCGCCGGGCCCGGCGCGTGGTCCGGGGACGGCGCCCACTTGGTCCCCACTCACCCCTCGCGGACATGGTTCAGGCAGCAGGAGTCGAAGCAGTGAGGGCGGCGGAGTCACCCGGCAGGGCGTGGGGAGGAAAATCTCGCCGAAACGCACAAGGCGCACCCGAGCCCGCCCGCGTGGGGAGGCGGCTGGCCGCGCGGGGACGCCTCCCTCAAGACACCTGAGCGCCGCTGGGCGCAGCACGGCCGGCGGGCGGGGACCGGCCGGGCGCGGCAGCGCTGACAGCCCGCGGCCCGAGCTGGGCGGGGCCCGCCTCCCCGCCTCCCCGCCTCCCCCGCCCGCCCGGCCGCCCGGCCGCCCGGCCCACAGGGTCCAGCAGCGGCGGGGACGCGCCGTCAGCTCGGCTGCGGCGCCAGCCCGAGCTTTTGTCCCCGAGCGAGCGTGGTGCGGCGTGCGGTGAGGGCTGCGTCTCCCCTCCCCCGACCCGAGTCCTTACTGAAAATAACAGTAGTAATAAGAAAAGTGCTGCCGCTATGAGTGGCCTTCCAGCCTCCCGCTTTGGTCTCAGAGAAGGAAAGGAGGAAAGAGCTGTTCTGTTCCCTCCCCTAAGTGATGCCCTGGACAGGAGGGGAAGACCACGGTCGCCGAAGGGGCTTGGACTTCAGTGGGAGGAAGACTTTGGGCGCCCACCCGCTGGTCAAAACAAAATTAGCGACCAGTGAGCCCCTTCGAAGTCGGCTGGGTGGGATGGGCGGACTTCTCTTCCTGGCACCCTTAAGGTCATGCAGAACAGGGCTGACCCAGCTCAGGGTCTTGAGTCAACTGACACTCAAGGAAGGTCTGTAAACACATCTGATTTATTGTATCAACTCTGGAGTATCAGGGCTGGGCAGGGCTGGGCAGGGCTGGGCAGGGCTGGGCTGGGCTGGAGAGTAGGGCAAACGTTCTAAGCAAATCCACCTTTTCTATTTATCAGAGTAAAAAAGAACAAAATACAAGAACAATCTCCTACTGCCTGGAGGCTTTATCATCTAGAGCTTGAGGCTAGTAAGCAACCTTACAACACCACCAGATCCAGGAGTTCTAAACTGAAGAGGTGAGATTCTAAGGTTTGAGGAGAACGGGCACAGCAGCTTATTAAACCTCTAAGACTGATGAAAGAATTCCAAGTTTCAGGAATTCACACTCACTTCCTTCTCCGTGTCTATTCCTATATCCACTCTCACAACAGATATTCTAGTTATTATTTATGTAGGCACTTCCCAAATCTATCCTGATATAATGGGAATTGTATAATAGGTCTGATAATTCAGAAATCTTCAAAGAATAGGTGAACAAACTATCTCTAGAAAAAAATAATCGGTGGATAACTGAGCATCATTGAAAAAAAAGCCCAATCAAATAACCATGTGGGGAGAGAAATACTAGGAAAAAGGTAAGTAATGAGAGTAGAATTTCTCATGTTCAACTACCAACTACAAAAATTAACTCATTATTTATCCATCTTGACAACATCCCTTTTGCTATCTTCTAGGAGGCAAACTTGACAATAAATCACAATCTGGTTGCTTCCATTTCAAAACAACTCTTCTGGGCTTCCCTGGTGGCACAGTGGTTGAGAGTCTGCCTGCTGATGCGGGGGACGCAGATTCGTGCCCCGGTCCGGGAAGATCCCATCATGCCGCGGAGCGGCTGGGCCCGTGAGCCATGGCCGCTGAGCCTGCGCGTCCGGAGCCTGTGCTCCGCAACGGGAGAGGCCACAACAGTGAGAGGCCCGCGTACCGCAAAAACAAAAACAAAAAAACAAAACAGCTCTTCTTTCCCACTATCCTCAGTCTACTGTTAACCCTTATCACCCAAAGGATGATGACACGAAAGCCACTGCTCTCCCTACATCCAACCTCCACCCGCTCCAGTTTATTTTGCCTCTTGCCTTGAGAATAGTTTTCTTAAAACACTGTTTATAATATGACATCTTCATACTCCAAAACTTCCAGTGAATCCCCACAAATCTTCAGATAAAGCCTCAACATTTCAGTGTCTTCATCCATGAAGTTAATCCTTCAACAGAATTTTATTGAATATATACTATATGCCAGTCTCTATGGTAGGTACCAGAGTTACAATGGTAAACAACATGGACATTATCTGTGTCTATATGGAGCTTAAGGACTATGAAGATTTTGAGGCTTTCCACAACCTATGCTTTCTTACCTCTCTAGCTACTCCTCTAAGCAAGCGCTCTGTTGTAGACAGAATAGTTTCCCTGTAGTGTGCCTCCCAAATGCCCCCCATCTCACCCAAATTAATTTATACACTGTCTCCTCACGTAAAGTCCTCCAGCTACCTCAACCCACATTGATCTCCTCATTCTTTCAACTTGTACTTTCAGAACCACCTATTTTTACTTAATACACTGCTTTGTGTTGCCATTCAATGGTTTTGTTGTACGTGTTTCCTGTCTCTCCAGCTGATTATAAGTTCCTAGAAGTGAGAGACTTGGATCGTCTTGTTGAATTGAATTTGTTCTGGAAGTATATCACAGGGCATATATTATATCAGACCCCAGACTAGTAAGATAGGGAGGTCCCCAAATTGTGTAACTTTCACTTTTATTCTTGTAATTAATATCCAGCCCTTTTCTCTAACTGTCACAATAGTCTGGTCCTTATAACTTCACACCAAAATTATAGGTACAGCGCAAAAGCCTAATAATGAACAGAGCTTACTCTTGTCCTTAACATGTTTATAACAGACTACACAGCTGCTTCTAAAATACACTCCTATATATAACTGTAAGTCTGAAATAAGACATCTTACACAAAACTGTTAGGCACACGCTGGTACTCAGTACCTGATTGACTGGCAGGTTGGAAAATGGTAAGTTATCATCAAAGATTATCTTTGGCTAAAGAAAGGTTTCCCTATGAATTTAACTTTGGTCTTCTTCGGGTTAAGTATCAGTTCAGATTTTAAAATATATATGATTTGCTTATATTTTGCAGTTATGATTGAAATGCCTGTTAGAGTCCAACACATCATTCTAGAATCTGTTCCTATAATCTTACAAATCTGAAACTAATTCTTCCAACCACACAGCAACCAAGTTCCTGTTAGTAGCTTGAACATCCTAACAAATTTCTCATCTAAGATAACTGAGAATACTTTTGAAATCATCGTGAAAGCAAACTGTAAGATGCAAGGAATTTTAAGAGAAACGTTAAATGCCACTTTTTAAAGTCAGGTAATAAAGTATAGGCCGTTGGCTGAAACTATAAATAGCAGTTTTATATAGACCAAAGGGAAGAAACATTCCGGTCTGTGTTTGAAAAAAGATGTTACTATTTGACTCTTACCAAAAATACTCTTTCAACTTCTAATGGAAGTTAGCAGACATTATTAGTGTTTTCTATTCTTCATTGACTTTTAAAGTGATTGAATATGGATTCATATTCACACAGCTTTTCAACTGCTGATTCGCCACCACTTCAGTTCAGCTTTCTGTATAACTTCAAGTTGTTTTTTTTAAAAAAAGGGCAATCTGACTACTCAATAATTTTTCAGCAAATACGTTTGTAATACCTACCATGTAAGAGGCAATGAAGAAGACATGGCAAACCAGTTAGATTAGTTCCTTGTCCTCATGACATTTATGTTCAAGTACGAGAAAGTTAGACAATGTACAAGGTGGAGAAGCTAAACTTGAGACTTGTCATGAAGCCAGGTCACTAAAGGGGGCTGAAATGATTCCAGGTCAGTAGTATCCCTGGCTCCCAAGAGAAGCAAACAAAAATTCTATTCTGATAAAATTTGACAGATGAGCCACCAAAAATGAGGTCGCAATCAAAGATTACTAAATACAGAAGAAAACATGCCACTCTGAATGAGAGTTATCAGAAATAATAAATAGCAGATTCGGATAGTAAGAACTTCAGATCTCGTAATTCCCAGATAACAAATATAAAATAAAAGATGAAATATATAAATAATACAATAAAGTAATAAAAGGTACACAACACAAAAAAATGAACCAACAAGAAACTACCAAAAATGACCAAGTAAATTTTAAAAAATCAAAATTTTAAATATCAAGTGTTAAAAAAATTTTTAATTCAATGAATAGGTGATACAGAAAATTATTTGGAACCAAATAATTAGTGAAATGGAAGGTAGTTGTTTAAAAAATTGCTAAGAATACAGCTGTGAAATATTAGGAGATGGAAATATTAAAAAAGAGGTTAAGATATATAGAGGGCAGAATGATATGGTGTAATGCATAAATAATAGGAGTCCTAAGAGAGAATAGAAAACATGGAGGAGAGACAGCATTTAAAGAAATAACAGCTGAGAACTTTACAAAAAAACAAATCCACAGATAAAGGAAATACAACTTATATCAAACAGGATGAATAAACAGAAATCCAGACCTAGACACATTGTATTGAAACCAAACAACACTAAAAACAAAGGGAAAAGACACAGTCTACAAAGAAACAACAGACTAACCATAGACTTCTTAAATGGAATGGTGAAAGCCAGAAGACAATGGAATTGTGACTAGACTATAAGTAGCCCATTAAACTATGTAAACAGCAAAAAACTTTCAACAATGAGAGCAAAATAAAGATATTTTAAGATAAACAAATATTGTTTCCCACTAAAGGCATTTCTACATTATTTATATATAATATATAAATATATTTATATAGCAAAAAATGACCTCTGTTAAAAGGTGTGAGATGAGGCTTCCCTGGTGGCGCAGTGGTTTGAGAGTCAGCCTGCCGATGCAGGGGACACTGGTTCGTGCCCCAGTCCGGGAAGGTCCCACATGCTGCGGAGCGGCTGGGCCCGTGAGCCATGGCCGCTGAGCCTGCGCGTCCCGAGCTTGCGCTCCACAACGGGAGAGGCCACAACAGTGAGAGGCCCACGTACCGCAAAAAAAAAAAAAGGTGTGAGATGGAAGAATGAGGGAAAAAATTTTGTTTACATGTAGATAAATCTGACTAAACATTGATACATTTGAAATGATAGACTAGGATAAAAATTATTTCTTTGAGAAGATTAATAAAATGGATCACCTTTAATGAAATTGATTAAGGAAAAAAAGAGAAGGCAAAAGTGAATAATATTAGAAATAGAAAGAGACACTTATTTACATATGGAGCAGATGTTTAAAAAATGTTA